TTAGTCTCAAAGAGATTCCACAATCCTGTTACTTGGCCATATTAAAATGCTCTAAATATCCATGCTTAGGTTTAACATCTTCCAATAAGCTGGTGATAGTTAATGGTAAAATCAGGAAGAAAGCTGAGAGTTACAATCATTTCCTCCATTACATCATTCCGTAAACCTGACTGCAAAATTTGCAACACAGATTCTCTGTTGAATGAAGGTAGGAACACTTCTTCAGAATTGAATATACTATTGAAACCTGTTTTTTCATGTATTACAGGTGTGCCATCTGTGAAAATGAAGTCAGCTTTTCCATTTTTAGTTCAAACTTCTCAAATGTCTTACTGAGAGAGGGTTAACAAAATATTTATGTGTGCTTGCTAATTATGGTAGGTAAAATTTTTGCTTAGTTATTTTGCTGTACCTTCAAATCAGATGAATTACATTTTTTTTTTTTTTTTTTGAGACAGGGTCTTACTCTGTTACTTAGGTGCTTAGCTAATTTTAAAAAATTGTTTTTTTATAGAGACAGGATTTCACTATATTGCCTATGCTGGTCTCGAACTCCTGGACTCAAGCGATCCTCCTACCTTGACCTCCCAAAGTGCTAGGATTACAAGCGTGAACCACCACACCCAGCTCAATTACTTTACAACTCTAAAAGATGAAAGATACATAAAGACATTATAAACAAGGAAGAGGAAATAAGATAAATACAGACAAAAAAAAATCAGAGTCCAAGAAAGAATATGATACACGCCCTAAGAGAATTACAATATAAATTGTTTCTTCCAAAGGAGGGAAAGATGTTCTCTGGTAAGAAGAATCAGGAGAGACTCAAGTGGGAAAAATGGCATTTGAAATGCATTTCAAGTAGCTTCAAATTCTATGTTTAGATATATAAATATGAAGGGCAATAATGCTGAGTACACAGATAAACTCATGAGCAAAGGAAAGAAGCCAGAAAGCAAGACAGCATAGTAGATGTCTCTGGGGAATGGGAAAATCAACTGAGAAGGAGCTTGAAGAACTTTCTAGAATTATGGAAATGAAATGTTCTAGGTACGGATTGGAGTTTGGATTACACAGGTGTATACATTTGTCAAAATTCAACAAATTATTATTCTTTAAATGTTTGCATTTCCCAGTGTATGAATTTTATACCAACAAAAGAATCAAAAGCTAATACTTAATACTATTACTAGTTCCTGATCCCCATGAAGTATTTAGGGGTGAAGTTTATCAACATCTATAACTTACTTTGAAATGCATAAAAAAATAAGATGGACTGATGGATGGATGATGAGATAGACAGGACAGCTATGTGAAAAAGCAAATGTAGCAAAAATTGTGAAATCTTAGTAGGGGGTATATCAGTGTTCACTATACAATTCTTTTAATTCTTATATGTTTACATTTTTTCCTAGTGAAATGTTGGCGGGGTGGGGGGAAGCTTATGTAAAGGAAATAAGATCAAGTTTCTCTGCACCTTATAGACAGCCTTCTTAGCCTTCTGTATATTAAATGACCGATTCTCAAATCAACATCGTTGCCTCCAGAATAAATTCCTGGTTATCCGACCACCTTCTCACCATTATTCTGGAATCCTATCCACTAAGGGACTGACCCTTGAGACCTCTGGGTCACCATTCTGTCCATCATATGCCAAATCTCATCTTCCCTATTCCTTCTTACCCATACAACCCTATGGGTCAATGTTCTTAGCCACACCTCATTTAATGCAAAGGATCCATTTGCTCCCCCAATCTCCAATCCTTTTCTACCACAGAAAGGGCTTATGATAAATG